CCAACCGCCAACCCTTCCCCCACCCGTCACTTCCCAACACAGTGGCCGCAACAAACCTTCAGACTACCAGTGAGATCGGGTGCCCTCTGTCCGGCACCAGCCTCAACAGGATGTGAGAGCCCAGCCGTGACTGACAAGGCCGCGGGCTGTGGGTGCCCCTGCCATGCTCCTCCTGCCGTCCCTACACCCTGCCCCCCTCAGGACATCCCCTGCTGGGCCCTGGCCTGAGGGCCTCTGCTCCCGGGGGTGGCATCTCACACTCTCTCCCGTCCAGATCGCTGTCCTCCATGAGCCTTCCTTGACCACTCTGTGCCGAACACCCCCTCCCCCGGCATCCGGCCCTCCCAGCCCCTCCCAGCCCCACTTTTCTCCACTGCCTCTTTCCCTGGCCTGGGGCCTGCTGGACCGTCTTCGTCCGCCTCCCTCCATGAGAAAGCCCTCTCTAGGGGCGGGACTTTCGTCCCTTTTGTTGCCTGCTTCATTCCCAGCAGGCCTGGCATGTGGCGAATGCTCAAGCAGCCCTTTCTGAATGACCGAAGGACTACTCTACTGCGGCTCAGCCTGATACCCCTCCCTCGGGGGTCACTCTAAAGACCCCGTCCTCAGCTCAAGCACCAGCACCTGCCTGGCCCGGCCCCACGTTCAGGGCAGAGAAGGCCCGGTGGGCCAGCGAGTGGCAGCTCATCCCGGACGCAGCTGCCTTTGTGTGGACCAGAGTTTCCCTCTTTGCTGGCCTTGAGCTCACAGGCCTCTCAGGACAGCTGATCTCCAAGGATTCCTGGCTCTTCCCTGCCCCGCTGGAGTGGATGGCGACTGCACACCTAACTGCATTCCTGGTTGTCACTCGGCTGCCACGTGGTCCAGACCCTGAAGACCCTTGCTGGATTCTGAACTTCGGGCTCTGAAGTCCTGGAAGCATGGTGTTTTGTTGTTGTTGTTCTTGTTCTAATACCGGGGACTGAACCCTGGGCCTTTGGCCCGAGCTACATCCCCAACCCCTTTTTATTTTTTATTTTGAGACGAGTCTGCAACTAAGTCATTAAGTTGTCCACTCTGGGCTTGAACTTGCAATTCTCTTGCCTTAGCTTCTGTTCTCTAGCTCGGTTTGACAAACATTTCCTAAATCTCTGTTCTGAGGCAGATTCGGGAGGAAACAGGCTGCCCCTGATCATAGCCTCCATTTGAACAGAGCTGAGCGGGGATAGTACACTTCTGCTCACTCAGCAGCAGCAGGAGGGATTTAAGTACGGGGACTGAAATTATCTGAAAGATTGCTCATTCATACGTCTGAGAATTGATGTTGATTCTAGTGGGATAATCTTAACTGGGGCTGCCAGCCAGGACACCCGTACATGGACCCTCCATCAGCATGGACTTCTTTGCTACCTGGAGTCTGTTTTCCCAGAGTCCCCAGAGAGAGCATCAGGAGGAAGCCATATCGTGGTTTATAATCACCACATTCTGTTTGTTCCAGCAGCCCCTAAGACCTCCCCAGATTCAAGGGGACAGGAAAAAGTCTCTGCACTGCAAGACAGAATAGCAAGTTTTCCAGGAAAAACATGTGGAACTGGACATATTGCTTTGATTATTTTTGGAAACTATGCCCCACAAAGCGTTAAAAAATGCCTTCAACATCCCAAGGGTAAAATTATTCCAACCTTGAATCCCATACCCAGCTAAAGTATCAAGCAGGTAAACCTACAGACTTGCAAGTTCTCCAAACTTTACCTCCTATAACTCTCTCAGAAAGCTACTAAAAGAATGCTACACTAAAACAGGAAAGTAAATTAAGGAAAAAAAGACACTGTCTTGTGTGGACCTAATACGAGAAGGAGGGCAAGGAGAGTTCTAGATGACAGTTGTACGGGATGCCAAGAAACCAATTAGGCAAGGTGAAAGCCAGAGGGAGACAGCTCCAGGAGGGTGTGTGTAGGAAACAAGCACGTCAACGGCACTGATGTAATATCCTATATGTCTGTCCATTAAGGAAATGATATACGGAGTGCTTGTGAGGACTAGTGATCATGACACATAGAAAGGATTATGGCAGCAAGATGAACTTAATAAAACAGACCAGACTCAGGACTACACATACATAAATAATAAATATACGGCAGTGACAACGCGGGCCAGAGAGGATAAGATAGATTTTTAAAATATATGATAATATGGCAATTGGTTATCCAAATGGAGAAAATGTGAAAGTAAACTTCCACTTTGTATATAAAAATATGTTCCAGGTTGATTGAAGACCAAAATGGAGCTGAGGGTGGGTGGCCAGGCCGATAATCCTAGCACTCTGGGAGACTAAGGTGAGAGAATCACAAGTTTGAGCCCACCTGGGTAACCTAAAGATTTAGTGAGACCCTGTCCCAAAATTAAAAAAAAAAAAGTGTGGGGTATAGTTCATTGGGAAGGCCCTCAGTTTAATCCCCCGTGCTGAAAAAAGAAAAGACAAACACTTGGAAGACACATGTATAAAGATTTTGGACAGTGAAGACATTTGTCACAAATATGTCTGACAAAGGGTGAGTACTGACAGAACACAAACTTCTGCAAGTTTCTAGGGAACAGGAAATATGTTAAAGACTTAAAATGACACTTCGTGAGAGAGGAAAGCCAAAAGCCAATAAACATGGGGAAAGATGTTTGACTTCATTGTCAACAAATAAGCAAATTAAACTGACAGTGAGATAGAACTCCCCCATAAGACTGGAAAAAATGTTAAAAATCAGTCTATCAATAGAGCGTTGGTGTGTTAGATTTCATTACTGTGACAAAATATGAGACAGAGAGAGACTGACTGACAGACAGGCAGACTGACTGGCGGACTCACTGTATATCCCATTCAAGAGTACAACTCCATGTGACTGGAAAACTTCCAGCTAGGATCCACCTCTTAAAGGTTCCCACCACCTCCCAAGAGTGACACAGGTTGGGGACCAAGCTTTAACACACAGACCTTTGGGAGACACTTAGCCTAATCATAGCCGTTGGCAAGGTAATAACTCAGCGGTAATAGCGTCACATTTCCTGTTGATGGAGTGTAATTGTTACAACCACTTAGGGCAATAGTTTGGTATTATCTAAAGCTAAACTCATACATCTTCTGACCCAGCAATGCCCCTGACAGATGTGTGCCCAAGAAAAACTCCTCTCTGTGCATCAAGAGCTGTGAACAACATTGGTTTTATAGGTATTGTTTGTAAAAGGAAAACACTGGAGGCAAAGTAAATGTCACCAACAATGGAATGGATCAATACATTGTGCTGTGTTTGCATAACGAAATACTATGACACAACAATGAAAATGGACAATCCAAAGGCACATACATCAGCATGGGTGGATTTCACAATGCTGAGCAAATAAAGCAAATAAAGTCTCCAAAGAACAGGGGTGACTGGTTCTACTTCTGTTAAGTTCACCACCAGGCAAAATTCAGCAAAATTTTGTCTAAGAATACATTCATGGATGATAAAACTGCAAAAGTGTAGGAACGTGTGCCCCCAAATCTGGGTGGGAACAGGGCACAGTGGTGCCTACCTGTAACTCCAGCTATTCCAGAGGCTGAGGCAGAAAGATCACAAGCTCCAGGCTAACCTGAAAATTTAGCAAGACCCTGTCCCAGAATTAAAAAAATAATAATAAATAATGAAAGAAGGCTGAGGAAGTAGCTCCATGAAAGAACATCCCTAGGTTTGATGCCCAGTACCCGCCCCATCAGCATAGGAAGTCAGGAATTTCTAAGGAACTGGCAAAGCTCTGATTCTTAACTAAGGTCCTTGTTGTCTTTTTAAAAAATAAGCTCTTATTCTTTGCGATGTATATATTTTATGCAATCTTCGGTATGATTTATATATTTCATAATAAAAACAGAAAAACCTGAGAAAGTGAAAAGTGGGGTATTTAACGTCACAAAGAACAGAAAATTGTGTAAGGTCATTCCAAAAGGGAATAACACTGATGCAATCATGTGAGGCAAAGTCAAGGTTGCTTCCCAAACCCTGAATCAGCTGTCCGGGAAAGAGGGCAGACGGAACCCAAGGTTGTACAGGAGCGTTAACTCCTCACCCGCATGACAGAAAGTCAGGTGGTAGTTACCTAAAACCGATACATCCACAAAT